GGCCCCGGCCCGGAGCCGACTGAGCAGCCAGAGCGCGGCGGGCGGCGTCACCTTGCGTCCTCAGCTGCTGGATGGCTTCCGAGCAGGTGCGCATGAACGTCTGGGCGTCCTGGTCTATCTGGTCTCGTTCCGTGTCCGTCATCCTCCCGTGTTCAGACATGACGTGGCTGCGGCGACACACACGGAAGGGCAGCAGCGGTGGCCGGGCGTGGGCAGGCTGGCCCTGCGCCCAGCACGTGGCGGCCCCCGAGCGGGCGGGCGCTCGCTGTGCGCCGCCCTCTCAGCGTCTGGTCCCCTCACCCACTCTCTTCGGCCCTCCCCTGGCCGCTGCGCACGGGCCTCCAGGGGCACTCAGGCGCCCGGTCCCTGCGCCCCGACCCTGGGGCAGGCAGTGTGGCCAGCTTCCCCGCGCCCAGACTTGGGGGGCAAAGCAGAGTCCGGATGCTGGCCCGGAGACGGGAGGGAAACGACCTGACAGCACGGGTGGTGGCAGCAGGCACCCCGCCCTGAGGCCGGGCCTGGTGAGCAAGCCGCACGAGCGGAGGGGACACGCGGACGGGGAAGGCAGGCCGGAGGGAAGGAGCGACGGAAGCCGCCCCTGTCCTACGGGCGAGTGACAAGGACGGGGGGAGGCTCTGGGGACCGGGCGCTCCCTGACACACTAGTTCTGAAAGAAAGAAACCAGGCCAATGGCCTGTGCTCAAAGCTGGAGAACCAAAGGTCTGGGGGGGGGAGTTTGGGCCCGAGCCCTGCTGCCCCGAGGGGAGGCGGCGTGGCAGAGACAGGCCAGGCCTGGGGCCGCCCGCTCAGCCCACCGGCCTCCGGGCCGCTCCGCTGGAGGAAGACACTCCTGCCTCTCCAACTGTGAGGCGACTGCTTCCCAGGACGGGCGTGCAGGGCACGCAGGGACCTGGCCCTCGTGAGCCCAATATTCCGAGGCCCCCCGGAAGCCTGGCACCCACGAGGGGTAACCGCTGGCTAAGGAGCGGAGCCGAGGACCCCGGGGGCCCCTACAGCCACGATCAAAACCTGGGCTTGACCAGGGCCCCTGGCCTCTCCAGGCCTGCGCGGCCAAACCCCGCAGCCCCCCGGGAACCCGAAGCGTGCGCGTCGCCATTGCCGGCCCGGCGCTCCCCGCAGCGGGTCTCCCAAAAGCAGGAGACAGAGGGGCCGCGCGCCCCCTCCCGGCCACACGAAGCGCCAGCGGAGAGTCTGGTCTGACAGCCCTCGCGGAAGCAGGCCAGGCCGAGGAGAAGAAAGGCGCCGACTGGCGGAGAGCCGCAGGCCGGGCAGGCTCGGCCACCGGCTGCAAGCGGCCGGCGCTGATGTGCTCCCACCCGTGAGTGCCGGGGACTGCGGCTGGGAAGGCCTTGGGGCTCATCTGCTGAGCCTGACTACTCCACTAAGGTGACGTCCCTCTGGGACACTGCACACTGGCCTTTTCGGCTGGAAGCTGACGGTATGACTGTTCCGTTAGTAACAACAACAGAAACCAAGAAGGTTTCTCCCTGAAAGGTTATTGTTTTGCTGCCAGGATACCGCAGGAAAGGTCCATCCGGCATAGGCAGAGAAGTTATTTTCAATTAAATCACTCAGGAGATCCAGCCCGCGGCTGCACAGGTTGCACGCTGTTCTGCTCCAGTAAAATGTCATTATTAAAAAAAATTAAATGGGTCAATAAAGTGTGAGCTCTACATTAAGGGGAAAATTACAGCCTCCTAATTATGTCAAGCTAACACAGCCTGACGGCTCTGAGGCAGTGTTTCTAAACATAGGCCTCCAATTCCACGACTGTTCTCCATCCAAAACGCTCTGAGCAACAGGCACGGCCAGCAGGCGCGGGGCGGAGGGCAGGAA